CCTATTGGCCGAGGTCTAAGCTAAACATAAACAAAAAATATGCGATAAAGCACATAGAGAAAATATAATCCTTCAAAATTAAAATGTAAATACACATTTATATCTAAATAATTGATGTAATTGATTTAATGGCACAATAATTTATTTGTCAAACTTCTTTTTGACCCAATAATTTATTTTAATACGCCAGTTATATATTTATACATTTATTTCCAATAATGATAGGTTTGGTCCTCCATACAGGATTGGGCACTATACTGCTCTAGAACAAAGTGAATGAATGAAAATTTCTAACAYAATGCCAGTCTTTGTTTTCAGACAAAGACAGTGAGGAGTGATGAAGTATCAGTGAGAGAGAGAGCACTCTGTTTAGGGACATTTCTTTACCAAAATATCCTTGCACTCTGAATGAGGATTCTCTCCATGTAAACATGTTTAATTTGCTCTACCTTGCAGACCACAGCACATAAGATGAGATCCTCCACCACTTTGGGTTAAAAAGACAACTACAACCTCACAAGCCATATGTGTCTCTCTTTAACAATAACAAAAAATAATGTGAACATTCTTATTGTTTGTATTACATATCAGGGCAGACCCAGATCTTGCTGGAATGATCTGGCTTGGGAATACATTGGGATTTCTCAGGAGATAGATATCCTTTTATGGTCCTTCCAATGATGAGTCAGACAGTGGCTGGGTGGATTTATAATGTTAAAATAAAATTATACTTTTAGCAGCTTTCCCATCAAGTTTTGTGCAATATGTTCACTGAATTTCCACGACAGAAAGACCTCGACGAGGAGCAGAAACCTTGTGGACTCCAATCACATCTTCACTACTTTTACTTTTGGCTTTAAAAAAAGACTTACAATAGCAATCATTTCAACTCTCAGGCCATCACTTTGTTTATCTGCTAGCTGGATGCTTCATTTACCCTACTACCCGCACAATGCTATTTTTCTTCATAATTTATCAAAAAACAGTAACACGTTTCAATATTCGTGAGACAACAAATCTCTGCAAAGGCAGAAATGTATGAATTTATTAGACAAACTGTGTTGTCTCAATATGTTAATGTAGAAAAATATAAGGAGCCATTCTTGTGCCATTAAGAGAATTCRAACAAACAGCTATGTTCCCATAGCAGCTTAATCTTTTAAATGTGTTTTTGTTGCATTGAATCATAAGTTTAAAGTTTAACATTGATRTAAAAACTAGCRGGTGACAGAAGTCGGGCCTTGAATTTGACACGTGGTCTGGATGGTCACAAAAACCCCTCAGCTGCATGCAGGGGGACCTCACGCATATACTTTTTTTTTTTACTGTACATCACACAAGCCCTAGTCGAACAGATAGTAGACCATAAGATGACCCTTCCTCTGTCACTGTTGTCTCAACGGTATAAAACTGACTAAATATCAGTTTAAYTGGCTGATGAAGCCAACGATTAGTTTAAATGTCTGAACGCAACAGCACCACAGTGTTACATGTTATAACAGTAACTGTTTTAAAACTCTGATCTGAAATATGTTTGTAAGTTCAGTTYATGATAGATAAAATATTGGAGCACAAAGCTGTCATTGTGCTGATGCCTTGAKAGATGCTAAAATTGACTCACTGATGTGGTTGAGTGACAAAAATTTAGTTTTTTTTTTCTTTGCCAATGAGACCCTGATCTGTGTACAGCTCCCAGTAAAAAGTATTGTCTTGTAGGGTATGTACCAAGTATTGGGTGATGGGTCAGAACTTCAACGGGGGTCTTTATGTGGAAAAGCAACTTCGGTACACTGCTCTGCTGAGGATCAGCTGGCCGAGGCTGCTAGAAAATACAGCCTTCTTAACAAATGTTCCAGCAAAACTTTCAAAAATTGTTAAAAAAATGTTATGATAGTCAAACTCGTAGAAAGAGATGCATTATTTTAAACGAAGGACAATAAAACTGGTGTTTTTACAAATGTTTGTATTCTATTAACTTTGTCTTTTGAAATTACATTAGTGCAGTATGTTGTTTTTTTTTTTTTTACATAAAACATGATTTTTTTTTGGCATGCAACACAAAGGCACTACATTTKAGCAAAAGAGCTACTAGGGAAGTAAAAATATTAACACATAGACACAAAACAAAAATACAGAACAACAGACAACATCCAGAATATGTTTGGCAACCCAATGTGAGTGGATAGGAAACATTTTACGCAAAGTACGTGTCTTTGCTCTAAAAGGGAAAAATGGAAGAAAGATGTGCGAAGAGGAAGAGCAATTTACTGTAGTCTTGTCAAAGTTTACAACCCCAATTCCAATGAAGTTTGGATGTTGTGTAAAACATAAATAAAAACAGAATACGATGACTTGCAAATCCTTTTCAAACTATATTTAACTGAATTTTGCAAAGACCATATATTTAA